AGTTCAAGACAGCACTGGGGACGTTAGTGGTGTGAAGGGGTTGAGAGTGAAAGAGAATACCTTGACGTCGTTTGGGTCACGGGGACAAAGGCCGTTGTAGGTTATTCCATTGCAGTTCGAGGTTTTGGCGCACTTTCCGGTGCCTTCAGGGGCTTTGCAGGAGGAACCGATGGCCCGGGATATGAGGTTGTAGTCGGCCTCGGCCTCGGCGGTTGGGTGGGCAAGAACAGTGCTAGCGAGGAGGAAGGCGGTGGTAAGGAAGGGAGTGAACTTCATTGCGGCGGGTATCTATTGAACGAAGTAGGATGAAAGAGTGGAATTGAAGCTTTGGACTGTATTGCAGTTTTGGAAAGGATGCTGCATCTTGGGACGGAGAAGTTGTGGTCTTTTATATCCCATTTCTAACTGGATTGTTGTTTTCGTAGGGAGGGTGGTGAAACTATGCAACTGTCGTGAATCCCACCTTGGAGCTCAAGAATCATTCGTTTACTTCGTATATCGGACTGGCCGTGGTGGGCTGGATCCTGAAGCATGATGATGATGATTCTTGGCAATGTTGGACAAGGCAGGATTGAGGGTGCCCAGCTCGAGCATATCCTCAGCAGAAATGCCTTTCCACAGTGTGAGCTTAGATGACTGGAGTGCAGGTGACCTCGATTGTGTCACCTTGGTCGACACAGCAACACTGGTTCCTGGAATCTGGAGTAAGGGTTTATGCTTAAGTGACTATCGATTCCGTGTAACGAATTAATTTGGGCTGAATACATGTAGTCTTGGCTTCTTCCAAGACTTGTAGTTCTCTGATGGGATTAACTGAGCGTTTACATATCATCTCCCAGCAATACCGACTGGAAATCAGCATTTGCACGAGAGAAACCATGTCGGCGTTTATGTGAGTAACCGGGAAAGCCTGTTGGCTTGGACTGAAGATCTTCAAGCGAATGTATTTTCAGCCAGGACTTGTCGACTGTCCTCGACACAGTAGTGGAAATATAAATCAGTACATATGGAACTCTGACGCTTGCACTTCCGCAAGGCTTGGAGGTCCGCCAGGACTCATGAGCTCGGATGTTTTATCATGAATACAAAAGCTCATACCTTGTAGTAGCTTAGCAATTTGCCATCCGTTTATAATTATTCACTTTGCAAGACTTTGGTAAGGCAGCTGCGCAGCCGAACGGGCCCTTACGAGACTGTACTGTTGAGATTCCTTCAGCAGGCACGCCTTGTGCTTTGCTGCGCCTACCATACTGCCGTTACACAGTCGCTCTCTCCGCGTGCAACTTGACAATCGTGCAACGGCGCCCTCTCAACTCCTGAAATTTTGAACGCATTGCATTTCCTATACGTATGTCAGTCCCATAGTATGTGCAGCCGCGTTCTAAGCAACGTTATTCTCGTTTCCTTGGTACAGCACTTCGCTTTTGCATCATATATTCCGGCTTTTGTTTATGATAACCCTCTGGGGGATCCGGATCCGCACGTCAGCGTCGACCGCATTATGTAGCGTAACCTTTACAAAAATTGTTGAACTAAAGAATGGGCAAATATTAAGAGAAGAACCGGGTATTTGAATCCCACTTTGTATCCACATCGTTGTGGCTTGCACTCCGGGGAGGGTGGTGGTGTTGCGTTGAAATAAATATTTTTAATGATAACTTGAATGAGTAGTCATGTCAGCTTAATATGACTCCAGTCATTCCGTGTTGTGGCGACGATGCATTGAGAAGTACTTATTCCTTGTGTCACACGCCGACAGCATCAATCAGGAAGAAAAAAGCACAAATAAATTGTAGGCCCTGTAGATCAATGACATCCAACTTATTTCCGGTATATGAGATGGTTAACCGGTTATCCTACGCATGCCCCAAAACTGGAATTCGATAGGGCATCCTACTTAAAATTCGGTCATGATCAAGCCGAGTTACACTACAAAATACAATCGCGCATGAGCATAGTGCTAAAAAACCAGCAAGCGGGTTCGAAACTTGCAATAGGTGTTATAAACATCCATCTCTCCAGGCTTGAACCTTACCAATTGGCGCAATAAACTCCAAAGTCCCAGGCTCGAAATTTGGGAATATCATCTTTTACATGCACTCGCGATTGTCTTATGCATAGTCTGCTGTGCTTCCGTTTGACAGTTTTTTGGGCGGGTATGTAGATCTCTCATAAAAAGCTACCAAATTAACAGACGAACACTTGGCTTAGAAAGCTGAGCATGGTGCTAGAAACACCAGCTAGTAGGTTCGAAACCTGCAACTTGAATTGGTGCCGTAAACACCAACCTCCCGGGCTTGAAGCCTCAAAGTCCTAGGCTCAAAACCTATGGTATCACTTTTTTACATGTACTCGCCATATGTATCAGATGGCTATGCTTCGTTTAATACAAATCCCTATACAGCAACCGGATTAACAAGAAACGAATACTTGGCCTAGAAAGCTAAGCACGGTGCTAGAAACACCAGAAAGTGGGTTCGAAACCTGTAATTGATGCTGAAAACGTCGATTTCGCTAGGCTTGAAACCTGCAGCGGTGCTAAAAACACCAAGATCCACAGGTTAGAAACCTGTGGATGTCGCCTTTTTCATGCACGCTCGTCCTTTGTTTCCGTTTGACAGATTCTGGGCGGACAATACTCCCACACACACCTATCGAAATAACAAGTGAACACTTAGCCTAGAAAGTTGAGTGTGGTGCTGGAAACATTAGCAAGCAGGTTCGAAACCTGCAATTGGCGCTGAAAACGCCAGTTTCGCTAGGCTTGAAACCCGCTGCGGTGCTATAAACACTAAGTCCCAGGCTCGAAACCTGTGGATATCGCCTTTTACATCCACTTGTCTTATCCCAACGTCTCCCATAGGTTTATCTTGAATAAACATATTTAGAGGGTAATTATAAACAATTTATTCGATCGCGAATTCCACTATTCAACTCACAGATATATCCACGAATTAAGATAACAAAACGCAAACATCAAGTCATTTTTTCGTAATAAATACAGCTGTGGTGGGAGAAGCCATGGAACCTTCCTGATCCCATCAAAATAGTAGCCCAGTACAACATTGCAGAAGAGATAGACATTCCAAAATCTCCAAAATCTTCCACATATACCTTAACAGTACCGTCTACTTCAACTTCCCCTCTTTCTTCCACGTATCCATCCACTTGTACGTCACACCAGAGTCTTTGATTCCCTTACCTGCAACCCCGTACGTAGTCTTCCCAACCCTCTGAATCGCCCTCGCTTCTTTCGGCACAAAGGTATTGTACCTTCTCCTCAAGCAGGATGGACCCGGACCCTCCCCGCCGCCATTCCAGTAGCCATTGTAGAGAATCGCGACATTATCCCATTTATTCTCCAAGTCATCACGGAGGAAGCGGATCATCGCGTCTTTCTCGGCGGAGTACTTCTCAACGCGGCGGACCTTGGGCATGGCTTCGTTACCTTGAGGAGTAGGGGGCAAGTATTGGGTGGGTGTAGGACTGCGAAACAACCTCTTTCTCTGCTGCCCAGAGTTAGAGTCGAGGGGTTCCCGCTTGTTTCCTTGGAAATTGTCATCATCGTCGTCGGGAACAGGGTGGGCGACGACCATGAAAGCACTCATGGAGTTGTGAGGATTACCTACAACGATGATTGTGGTAGAGCCGGAGTATGTGACGTTCCTCTCCACAATGCTGCTTTTGCACTCGCTCGTGCTCAAGTTGAAGCCATCATCCGAGACCGCCTTCTCTATCACTTCCTTCTCTCCTGAATTATTGACACGGTCTTCATGCTGGACTGGGACATATGCCATCCATCCTCCCACTCTTGCAATGGTCGTGGAGCGGATATGTTCCATCTTCGGATCAGGTTGTGGTTCGGCGTCGGTTGGGGTTTTGGATATAGAATTCGCAATGGAGTTTGGATGAACACCTGAGACGTGGGAAGCAGCGATAGGTGGCGGGAATGAAGGCGAGGAAGAGGAAGAAGAAGTGGTGTCTGGCGGAGAGGTAGTTATATCCTAGAGCGGAAGATTCATGATGATGGTGATACTGACGGTGATTTTGAGGGTGTATGTCAGGGAAACGTGAAGGGGAATGGAGGCTACTCTTATAGGTACGAACAGTCAGGTCAAACCATGGAGAAGGGTCGAACTGGACCCTAGGGAGAAGGGTCGAACCCGCAGTAGACGGAATTTCAAAGAGTGATAAGGAAAAGGTGCTGAGATCGAGCTTCCAGTAACGTGGAAAGGGGAAGACCAACGAATGCCACAGCGCGGGTCCACATAATCCTGGATAGGCTCAACGTACAAAGACGTATTTTCTATGTTCAACTCGTGCTCCAGCATCAATCTTGGGGGAAGTAAGCTGGCCAGATATATGTCATAGAATGTACGGTAATGGACATACGAAACTCAATAGGAACCCATTCCGAGGCCTAGCAAGCCCGGGAGAAGTATGTGGAGAACAGTTCTCATGCAAGATGGTGATCATGAATCATCACTCGCACTTAAATTTCGCCCCGGAGGTATCTTGGTCTTCAGGACGAGCTTCTGGATATACAAGAACAACTTCTTCCATTTCGTTTGTACCAGAAGTAACCATATTCATTTCTGGTACTATTTATATCTATTATCACGATCATAGCGATCACAGCGGGGGCCGACAATTCGAACTCAAATGTACACATGCACTTCGATGGAAATGGAGTATTATAAGTGACAGCTCCTGTTTGACGGTCTGCACCTCTCTCCGAAATTCAGTCACCTCTCCCCATCTGCTGTGCTGTATGTACTCAGGTCTAGTAATCATGAGTTCCTCATCAGAAAATATGACGACTTCTAAAGGACACCATGGCGGCGGTGTTTGGTGCAATTAATGTGGCAATGTGTTCATTTTCGGATCCAGCGTTCATTCATTACGTTGACAAGTAAGTAAGTATGAGTAGACGCCAGTATCACCCCCATGCTCGGGTCAACAGTCCATATACCGTCCACAAGCAAAACAACAAGCACAAAAGCTCCGACGCGGACTTGAACTGCGGATTTTGTTATTACGAGTGATACGCTTTACCGCTGATCCACCGGAGCTGTCCACAATTTGTGGCTGAAGACCGGATTTGCGGAATGATATCATGATAGTGGCTTGAAGGAGTGGGCCGCGTGGGCAGTTTTGCGGTTTCTGGGGTGACCAGAAAGAGTGGAGGATTATTGCAATTCGGTATACGTATCATTGATGGCATCTGTGGTACAGTATCGATTTGAAATGGCGGAGCACTGCGGACGTTGTGCGTGAGCCACGGGTTCCTGCAGTGAATGAGACACCTTAGTTAGTACAGTACCTTGCGAATAGCAGTAGCAGTAGCAGTAGCAGTAGCCTCGTGTTTGGATTCCAGAGTTCCTGGAAGTTTGGTTTGTTCGTAATGGCGATGGGGAAAGCACGATAGCTGATCAATATACCGGCGGTGTCAGGCTAATGTATGCGATTGACGGATCTGTATAGGTACAACATGTCTTGGTGGGGTGAAGGCTAAGGAGAAGCTGCACAAGATGTCGGGCTTGATTTTGGAGCGGAAACGCCTTTGCCGACCCCAAGCCCTAACCGAAACCCAACGACATGAACGTACTGTAGGTAACGTGTAACACGCCCTCCTTGCTTACTCAACTACTGTATATGGTGTGCGAACAGAAGGTAAAAGAGAGGGAAAGAATCAGTACTGCAGGTTTCGAACACACATGTACACAGTGTTTACAGCACCTGAACCTGGTATTTCCAGCACCTTGTGTTTACAGCACTGGGCGTTTAAAGCACCACGCTCGTCAGCTGAGCTAACCGACCAGCTCTTGTTAATTCAAAGATCTTGCGGGGTTCTGGCTCACTGAACCCCGAATGCTTTGGCCGGCTGGTACAAGAGTGAATTAGAACTACGAAAACATGAACCAGGAGGCCCTTGTGGGCTTATAACCAACCCAAGCAGTCGGTAAGACAAAAGACTTAGAAAGAAAAAGAATGGCTGAATATTTCAAATTTCGAACCCGTGTTTACAGAACCCGGAGTTTACAGCTCTCAAGCCTAGTGTTTAAAGCACCACGCTCTGCCAGCTGGGCTAAACGACCAGCTCTTGTTAATCGAGGACCCTGTGGAACCTTGACTGACTAAACTCCAAGCCTGCTAACGATTTGGCTGGCACTTGAGCAATTGACAAACTATACAAACAAGGAGTAAGCGTCCCCATGTACACGAGACCGTCCACAAGACAAAAGAGGAGGAAAGAGTGGTTGGACACCGGAGGTTTCGAACCCGTGTTTACAGCACCTGGAGTTTACAGCTCTTGGGCCTGGCGTTTAATGCACCATGCTCTACTAGCTGGGCTAGACGACCAGCTCTTACGTATTCGAAGACCTTGCGGGGTTTTGGCTCAATGAACTCCCAACCCTGCAAAAGCTTTAGCTGGCATAAGAAACCTATGTGAATCAATATTGTTCGAATGTCCCGAGCATCAAGGATTGTACGTAACACATCATGGAGGCCCAATCCTAAGGGATTTTATTGTGGTTTCAGCCCACTCTTGGGCTCTCGATACCGAAAAAATCTTCACGTTCAAAATCTCGCATCAACCGGTATGTGTGCCCGGTAGAAACAGCAACTTGAACGTGGGAAAAAGAAACGAATGATTGAGTACCGCAGGTTTCGATCCCGCACCTGGACCTCGCGTTTGAAGCACCAGTCTTTCTAGCCGGGCTAAACGACCAGCTCTTCTCCGCAACCGATACTACATCTTCATAAGTATTTCCGGGTGTTCGGCGTGGTATCCAATAACACCGCAGTAGTTTAGGCGCTTAATAAGATGGCGAAATCACCGCATATACGAGAGCTAATATCTTAGCTTAACCGGTGCAATAAATACCAGGTGCTCTAAAAACTGGGGTTCGAAACCTTCGGTATGCGCCATATGGCGCACGAAACGTCAGCACACGGGCTCAAAACCTCATGGCTTAAAACCTCATGGCTCAAAACCTCATGATGCTACAAACTCTGGACCACAGGTTTCAAACCTGCAGTGCACACTCTTTTACCGTTCGAGATCCTGCTTAGGCCTTGTACAAGACAGTAGATATCGTTTCATACACCAAACCTGATACATTAGCTCAGCCAGTGCTACAAACACCAGGTGCTCCAAACACCGAGGTTCGAAACCTCCGAAATATGGCGCTGAAAACGTTTACCATACATGGCTCAAAACCTCCTGGCGATACAAACGCTGCACTCCGGGTTCCAAACCTGTCACTTTTGGCCTTCAAGATCTAGCTAAGCTTTGTACAAGATGATTGAAATCATATATATATATCAATAACAGATAGCTTAACTCAGCCGGTGCTACAAACACCAGGTGCAGTAAACACCTCGGTTCGAAACCTTCCAGTCAAAGGCGCTCTAAACGCTCAGGCTCAAAACCTGCTGGCGCTACAAACGCTATACGGGTTCCAAACCTCTCACCTTTTTAGCCCCGCTTGTACTCTTCTAGATCCAGCTACGCTTTGCACAAGACGGTAGAGATCGTTGCATATATCAATATCAGATACGGCTTTTATTCAGGATAACCCTCTGGGAGACGTATTTTGCAGGATAACCCTTAAGCCTCATTTTTATGTAAGATAACCCTAGTTTTTTAAACATAATCTGGTCCTGGCTCACTGAATTCCAAAACCTTCAACGCCTGGCTGGCCGGTCATGAATTGGTACAACTACTCTACACCACAAGGAGTACTCGTCCCATATAACCCATAACTCGAATTGTCCACAAGACAAAAGAAAAGAAAAAGAAGACTTGAACACCGTAGGTTTCGAACCTGCACACGGTGTTTGCAGCACCTGGAGTTTAAAGCCCCATATTCCGCCGGTTAAACTTGCGGTCCTCTGTTTGTTCAATAGGTTTACAGCATCTTACTCACACGAGAAGTTAGAAGGCGCAGGAAACTCCATCGAGGACTGGGGTACTTAAATTGTGGATGCTGAAAACTCCGTTGTATACTGTACATGTATTAATCCTTGGTTTTGTAGGTATTCCAACAAGGAATAGGCGTCTCCACAAACCTACAACCCAAGCCGCCACACAAGACAAAAGGGAAAAAGAATGGCAAGTTTCGAACCCGCACCCAATGTTTAGAGTACTCAGTGTTTGTAGCACCTGGCGTTTAAAGCACCATGTTCCGGCCGATTAAGCTAACCGGTCAGCTGCTTGTTCGACGGTTTTATAGAATCCTGGCTCCTCATTGAATTTCGAGGCCCTACAAATATGTCAACACTTGCTGGTAACGAGACGTCAGTGAATTGAAATAACTACTCTACACAGGCGTCCCCATCGAACCGTCCACAGGAAAAATGAAGAGGAAAAATTCGAAAAAATCGGCAGGTTTCGAACCCGCACCCAATGTTTTCAGCACTCAGTGTTTACAGCACCTGGCGTTTAAAGCACCATGTTCTACCGGCTAAGCTAAGCGGTCTGCTGTTGTTGTTCGAGAGCTTTACAGGATTCTGGCTCATTGAATTCCAAGACTCTACAAGCACCGGGATATCAGTAAATTTTTATGACTACTTTACACAAGAAGGAGCAGACGTCACATCGAGCGGCCCACAAGACAAAAGAAGAGGTCTCGGAAAAGAATAGCAGGTTTCGAACCCATATCCAGTGTTTACAGCACTCGGTGTTTGCAGCACCTTGTATTTACAGTACCATGTTCTACCGGCTAAGCTAAGCCGTCAGTTGTTGCTCTTTGGATGGTTCGGGGTACCTTAGCTAGTTCATTTCATCCTCTCGTTCCTCGAGTATCTGGCTCTACCTTTCCATCACGGGGCTGCAATTGTCAGCTCTACGATTCTCGGGTTTTATAGAGCTACTCGTGCAAATACTCTATTACGTGGACCTTGGATTATCCTTCAATAACATATCCAACTCACTCCTTCTAGGCTTGGTGAGACTGATAAATATTGATAGATATCGAAGCATTGTCAAAGACGAGGTTAGTCAGTTCAATAGCGACACCATCATTCCTCGAAGCATCCCATCCGGTGAGCTATATTTAACCCTACTTTCATAAACAGTCCTACCCAGAATGTTTCATCCCAATCCGTTATGGTGTAGTGGCTAGCATCGGCCGCTCTCAACGTAAGAGCATTGAACCGGCCAGACCGGGGTTCGATTCCCCGTGACGGAATGAAATTTTGTTTTGTACCGAGCTCGGGTGGTCTCTGGGCTCCGCTATTTTGTGTTTCCTCGTCTTCAGCTTACTAGGTTATCTACATCCGTTTCCATCCATCAAGCTCATAAATGGTACTATTCGCCTTCTGAGCATTCAAACCCCCATTCTACCGATGTATTCTGCTCAGAAACCACCGCTGGAGATAACACAATCCACAACTTCCAACACCAGGCTGCACATAACTGAAATCATCTTCCCCCCTCAGGGCTCAGTCATACATGCACGGGTGTGACTGTGGAGAAACGCAGTCAGATTGGAAGAGTTCAAAAGGCACAGTACATACATTGTTGACGAACAACCATTGTGATAGCTCCCGTTTAAAATTCCTTTGCTACATCGATATCCAGAAATGTGTCCTCAACGGGAATTCAGTGCCTTACATCCGAGCGGCTCCCATAGAAGCACGCCTACAACAGCCTACATACGAACTACGTTAGATCAAGCAAGTAATGAACCTCTAGCAGCTTGAAGGCAGGTCATAGCAGGTCACTCGGTACTTGTCGACGTCCACCAACCCTTCCTGCTCAACCACCACCCACAGAAACTCGGGGAGCCATATTTCACCATCACTTCACCCGCCACTGCTAATACCCCAACTCATTCCTGCCTCGAACTCACATCACATTTCGCACATCACACTATATCACCACGCATCATCTTATTCGACATCCACATGCTACTATAGCTATAGACCATCACCGTCTCATACATATATCCTACCCCCAAACATCCACAACACCACATTTTTATACCCCCCCTTCCCCTTCGCCCAATATCAGAAAAAAAGAAAATCAAAGGGGGAATCAAAAGCCAGCAAGAATGCACCACAA